ACACACACTCACCCACACACACCCACACATATACACACACATACACACACACACACACAAACAAACGAGCAGACAACAACAATTTGACTTACTATACAAACAGCCAAAATCTCCAGGCTTCTGAAACCACCCAAGGCAACATCTGACATTCGCAACGACCTTCTCCTTATACTCTAGATCTATAATTTCTCTAGTGAACTGTCTGCCATTCATAAAAATATTTTTATTAAATGAATGATTGAATGAATGAATGAATAAATAAATGGATAGATGGAAGGAGGGATGAATGAATGGATGGATGGATGGATGGATGGAAGGATGACTAAATGAATGAAGTAATTGATGGCTTAATGAATGAAGGAACGAATAAATGAATGAACGGATGAGTAACAAAATAATTATAAATAATTCATCCTTATTCATGATAATTCACACTCCACAAATAATAATACAATTAATATTAACAATAAAAGGGGAGCACGAACCAAAAAAACCGACCATAAATATTCAAATCCAAAACATCAAATTATAAAATACAGATTTAAGCGATTTTAATTTTAGTTGCCATTCATATGGAAAATGTGTGTGGATGGATGGATGAATGGATGGATGGAGGTATTAATTTATTATCATCATCATCGTCACCATCACTATAATCATTACTATTATTAACAACAAATAATCTACAAACTACACATGCTACAAAAAACAGCTATAAACAACTATACATAGATTTGTATTTGTGTGTTTTTGTGTGTGTGTCTATATGTGTGCCTGCGTGTATGTGTGTGTGTGTGTGCGTGTATGTGTACATATGTTCCCTGAAATTCATAACATGACTTAAGTATCAAGTGTAAGTAAGAAAGAAATATGAAAAAAAAACAACAACACAAGTAGGTATGAGAAACATTTTAAAAATTATGTAATGTAATGTAACGTAATGTAATGTAACATAATGTAATGGAATGGAATGTAATTGAATGTAATGTAATATATGTAACGTAATGTAATGTAATGTAGTATATGTAATGTAGATGATGTGTATATGATGTAATGTAATGTAATGTAATATATTGTAATGTAACGGGATGCAATTTAATGTAATTTATGTAATTTTGGTGATGTGTATGTAATGTAATGAATTATAATGTAATGTGATGTGTTGTAATATATGTAATGTAGGTGACGCGTTGACGCGTATATGATGTAATGTAATGTGATGAATTGTAATGTAATATATATATAATTTATTGTAATAAAATGTAATGTAATGTGTTCAAAGTAGGTAATATGATGTAATGTATTGGCATTGTAATGTGATTTAGTGTATACTGCATGTCAGTCCATTCTTTCTTGTTTGCATAATAAAAAGAAGACAAGCTCATGCAAAAAATAAGTTATAATTATTTTTTGACGTATCAACGAAGGAATGTTTCAGAAGCTGGCGGGCGAATTCTGATTTTTTTTTAAATGTTCATGGCTTAATAGAGGCTGTTTGTGCGTGTGTATGTGTGTATTTGTTTGTATGTGTTTTTTAATAACTATTTTCGCATACAATACCATCTATTTCAAACTTGACTGTTTTATTTATGTTTGTTTATAGGAAAAAAATTTTTTTTCTGATTGTGTGATGGTTTTTGTGTTGTGATTTTTTATTGTGTTCGTACATGCTTCCTAATGTTTGTGTGTGTTGTTGAGTATGAATGAAACTCAAAGAAATCTTTCTACATGGAAGATTTATGGTTTCATTCATCTTGCTACCTTATAAGAGGAATGGCTCTCAAAGTAAAAACGCTGGAATGCTTCTACAGTTCCGAATTCGTTCGTAATTATGAATGATATCTTCTTCATTCTTCACTGGTTTTATATGCATATTTTTACTTCACACACACACACACATCCATTCTATTTATACATAATTATTCACATATACATGATCGAGAAATGGTAAGAAACATTAAGAAAAGCAAAACTCACCTACACATATATAAAAATTCTGTATGTGTGTGTGTGTGTGCATGTGTTTATGTGTGTGTGTGTTTGTGTGTGTTTGACAGCAGCATCCTATTTAATGAAATGTATTTTTTTTACATGCAGCTTTTAAACAGAGTATATGCTGTGCGATGATATATGTATTGTGTCGAAATGGCATTTAAGATTTGTATATATGTATGTATGTGTGTGTGTATGTATGTGTGTGTAGTGTGTGTAAATTAATACATACATGGTGTAATGTTGAATACCTTCCAAACAATAAAAACAACATTAAATGAGTCAAAACACCATATAATATTATCATATTTTAATTTATTATTCAAACTGTCTGAGGTTAATTTCTGGGCAATAAAAAATTACGTAATAAACAAACACGTTTATGTAAAGAAAAATTTTTCCTGATAAAAATGCAAAAATCTTAGCGAAATAGAATCACAATTCACATCTCTACTCGTTATTATATATGTTACTGTATGCTTCCAGAAAAAATATGTGTGTGTGTATGAGTGTATGTGTGTGTGTGTGTAATATATAAATGTGTTGTGTGTGTGTGTATAATATATAAATGTGTTGTGTGTGTATGTGTGAGAGAGAGAAAGAGAAAGATAGGGAGAGAGAGAGAGAGAGAAAGAGGGAATAATTTTTGACGGCAGATGAGTTGTCAGTAAGAAATGGTCCCAGCTTTGTTTGACGAACGTGATACGATGTAATTGATACGTTCTAACAAATTTTCTCGTTAAAAATCGCTAAAGATGAAAACAATTTCTATTTTTCGTCCACAATTTTTATCAGAATTCTTTTCGGTTGGTTGGGATGAATGAGTTTTTGATGTTTCGAACGTTTTTCATTTCATATCTTTTTACTTTTGCTACATTTAAAAGTAATTTTGTTAATGAATGAACGTATTATAAAAAATTATTTTCAATTTACTGTTTAGTAATTTTTAAATGTTTTAATTATGATGAAATTTTCTCATTCTCTCTCCCTCCTCTCTCTTTCTCTCTATCTTTGTTTCTCTTTTTCAGAAAATCAATACAATAATAAAAAACTTTGGCGCTGAAAGTGATTAAAAATGGCAGTTGTTGTTGTTGTTAATGACATTTTCAAAGAAATTTTTGGGATTATTTTCGATGGGAAATATGTAAAAACGTAAAAAAATTTAAATAAATTTTTAGATGAAACCTTTTTTTTGACAGTATTTGTTGTTTGTGCTTGTGTGGTTGTGTGTGTGTATGTGTGTGTGTATGTGTGTTTAGTACGAGACGAAAAAACTAAAAAACCAGCTACGACTTTATGACGTCACCAACAAACTAAAAAACAAACAAAGAAACAACAACAACAACAACAACAACCTTCTTTCATGAACGAGGCATTCGGACGCGCCCTTGCAGTTCTTTGGGCCCCTCTTCAACACCGGAACTTCCTTCCAGTACTTTTCCATTCTCGGAGTTTCCAACTTCACAAACGTCGTTTCGTTGTACTCACAGACGTTTGGCCTATTAGACGGAAAATTTTGATTAATTATAATCAAGTAAATAAATTACCGGCTAACCAGCCAATCAGAAACAAACACAAACAAAAATATGAAACATCATAGCTACATCATTATCTTTATCATATATCATCATCATTATCAAAATCACTTTCACTATCATCATCATCAGCAGCAGCAGCAGCACCGTCATCATCATCAGCAGCAGCATCATCATCATCATCATCATCATCTTCTTCTTCTTCGTCATCATCATCATCTTCGTCATTATCATCATCTTCGTCATCATCATCATCATCATCATCATCATCTTCCTCATCATCATCATCATCATTTTCGTCATCATCATCATCATCATTACCATAACAACGATTGCCATCATCATCGTCATCAGAAAATTATCAGTCAAGGAATGAATATAAACCAATCAATCAATCAAGCTGCCTTACAATAAGAATAAAATAGATATCTAATTTGATGGTTTTCTGGTAATAATGACGCAGTCATAGCATTTTTTATAACATATCCAAGATAGTGACGTCATTTTGATGTTTCTACAATACAAAGCGATTATCATTTTTTATTATTTCTACAATAAAAAAAAATGCTCAATTAAAAAATAACCGCGTTAGGAATTTAGGAATGGATGCCAAAAAATTAATGATATACAAATAAATATACAAGAAGATATACAAAATGATTTTCAAAAATGTAGATATACAAAGAGATATACAAAGATGTAATTTGAAACAAATACAAATTCTAAAATACAAATGATGAGATGGGTATGTGGCCAGTTGGTTGCTGACATATCTGAGAATTAATTAGATAAATCAAAAGATACGACAATACAAATCCATACAAGAAACAAATTCATTGTATACAAACAAAGGTATACAAAGATACAAAAATAGATACAGCAAAATAATAAAATGTATATACAAAAATGCAGCAAAACTTAAGAGAAACAAATTTAAATACAATAACTCAATATATATATATATATATATATATATATATATATATATATATATATATATATATACATAGACACAAAACATGAACACACAAATAAATATATACAACAAATTAGATTCATATATCAATACAAAAAGATAACAAGATACAAATACAAAAAGAATACAAACACAAAAAATGAAGAGCTCGTTGTTTTTATATCGGTATACGTAATAAAAATGTTATAAAAATCTGTCTGGCAGAGAATAAAAATAGATTATAAAGACGACGACGATGACGATGAAGATGCTAATAACAATTATGATGATGGTGATAATGATTGATGATGACCATGATAAATGTGCTGATAACGATTGTGATGATGATGATGATGATGACGACGACGATGATGAAGATTCTTATAATGGCAATGAGAATTATGACGATGACGAAGATGATGATGATGATGATAATGACGATGACGTCAGTCCTAACTAAATTATTTACCTATCATCATCATAGCGAGTTATTTATATGTAGCAAATCACAACAAACTGCCTTCAAACATACAGAAACAGCATTACACACCAAACCAACCATTCAACCAAACAATCAACTCATCAACCAGCCAACCAATCAATTGATTGATCAATCAGTCAAACAATTAATCAATTATAAAACTAAATCTGTGACCAATCATACAATAGATTAGAAAATTAGTAATCAATCAGCCAGCCAATCAGCAAACGATAAAACAGACTGGCCAATCAGCTAGCCAATCAACCAACCTTCCTACAAACCATCAACCAATCAATCAACCGCTAACCAATCAACCAGCCATTCAACAAACCAATCGTCAACAAATTTAACCCCATTATATAGCGCTTTTTTATTGCAACAAACCACCAACAAACGGCTTGCCATAAATCAGAATTTATTGTTTCACTCATTGCATTGGCATAGATAATTCATAACGGCACTAATATGCCCCGCACATTATTTATTCTATGGTTTTGGCATAATTGTATTATAATGCATTATACATTTTATGTTTTGTATGTATGTGGATATGTATGTATGTATGTATGTATTTGTGTGTGTGTGTGTGTGTGTGTGTGTATTTATGTATGTATGGAAACTAAAATAAAAAAAATTCTGAAGAAACATCGTCAATTGTTCAAATTAATTTTATCCCGAAAGTCTGAAAATAATGAATTAATGAATTTATTGAGACCTCGTAACACATTAACACAATAATAACGACATTTTAATTATATCTCTCTTTCTCTCTCTCTTACTCTCTTTTTCTTTCTCTCTTTCTCTCTCTAGAATTTCCATAAATCTCTCGACTAAAAAATTAGAAACCGCTGAAAAACATCAAAGAAGTTGCTCTAAGATAATGATGTCTGTGTGTTTGTGTGTGTTTGAATGTTTGTATGTATGTGTGTATGCCAATGTTTGTATGTATGTATGTGTGTCAATGTTTTTATGTATGTGTGTTTGTGTGTGTGAATGTATGCGTGTGCGTGCGAGCAGGTGACTAAGTTAATACACGAGTGGTCCCGATATAAATTACACAACCCTCGGTCATCTCTGACATAATTATTACTCTAATTACAATGTGTGGCAAATAACGTAAATCATACGTGTATGTGTAATTGTATATATGTGTGTGCGTGTGTGCAAGTGTATGTGTGTGTCTATGCGTAAAAGATGTGTTTGATTGGGTTTTTGGTTGTCATGTGTGTGTGTGTGTGTGTGTGTGTGTGTGTGTGTGTGTGAGAGAGAGAGAGAGAGAGAAAGAGATATGTGTGTGTGATTGTGTTATTGGTTGTTATGTGTATATGTGTGTGTGAGAAAGATGCGTGTGTGTGTGTGTGTGTGTGTGAATAAGTCTACGTGTATGCGTGTTATATATATATATATATATATATATATATATATAATTTTCATCATCCTCATCATGATAATCGTTCTTATCATTACCGCCATCAACATCGTCTTCATCATCCCCTTTTTTTTCATCATCGTCATCGTCTTCATCATCTCGATTTCAATTTCTTTTACGTACTAACTTTCCCATAAATTATCCAATCATTATTACATATTCGCGTTCGTTTCACTCTTTCCAGCCAATTTTTACATAACAAACACTACCCGTTCGTTATTTTTTATGTTGATGCTGTTGTTTTGTGTTGTTAATGTTATTGATGTTTTTGTTGTTGTCGTCATGGTAATCATATCTGTTGTTGTTGTTGTTTATGTTGCGTTTGATGTCGTTGTGGTTGTGGTTGTTGTTGATTTTGTTGTTGATGTTGTTGTTGTTGTGTTTGGTGTTGTAGTTTGGATGTTTCGTTTTAATGTCCTACATGCGTGTAATTTCGTGCTAGCTCCATAGCCTTTGATATTTTTATTTCTGTACATTTGAAATATTAATAAGTACTTGTTCTATTGTTTTTGTTTTTTTTTTCACTTACATCTCTCACTCTCTTTCTCTCTCTCTGAATTCCTCTCCTTTCCTCATTCTCTCTCGCGAAGGTGATAGACCAAAAATATAAATAGATGTATTAAACTCGAACACTTTCAACGCATATATTGAAATGCAGATGAGGGATTGGGTGCATGTGGCTGAAGAGGTTTGATCTCATTATGTAGTTTTAAATATGAATGAAAATCATTACATATAGATTCGAAATTAAATGGCACGAATGCAAATTTATCTTTTATGGCTCTCTTTCTCTCTCTCTCTCTCTCTCTCTCTCTTTCTATTTGCATCTTCATCTTTTTTTCTAACTCTTTCTCTCTTTCTTTCTCTTCAAAAATTATACAGATGAATCAAACAAATAAGCCTTACATGTTCTTGCGAAGTTCGTGCGTTTGAACCAACGTAGCAGACAACAGAATTGTTAGATAGGCCAAAAACCGGAAAGACGACGATGAAGATGATGATGAGGAGGAGGAGGAGGACGATGATGACGTTGACGATGATGTCAGTTTAGTTTTCCACCATAACTCATCCCAGCCTCTTTTCGATGTTGTTGAAGTTAAGTTTCCCTTCGCTAGGATAAGCATAATGCTTGACGGTGGTAGAGTAATTGATGATAAAAACTGTCTCAGGTTTTGTGTTTATTTTTGAAAGCAGTTGATATAAATAAAACTCTTCAGAGAGTTAACACAACAGTTACATCTGCTCTATCTAGTTCTAGATTCACTGCCAATCTTGAAGTTTGTCGAATGGTTGAACGTCGTTAACTTAACAGACGGCCAGTTTCAAAAACATTTCACGAGGTTGGATGAAGTTCGACGATGTCATTGTATTAATTCCTTATAAAAAAACTTGTTTTTCGAATGTTTGATATTTCAAATAATGATAAATTATCACTCATTTATAAACTTAAAATCAAAAATTTATAGACCAAAATATAAAATTCAATGGCAACTAGCTTAACTGAAAAAAATTGAAAAATTTGTAATAAAATGTACTAATTTATAGAAACCACAGAGAATACCTAAGATCACCACATAATTTGTATTTTAAGTACCACCACACTATGCAAGAGAGAGCATATATCCAAACTAACAAACCAACCAACAAACAATTCAATGCTCACTCGAGACAGCAACGAGATTAACTTTTTGTACCGTTTCGTCAGTATTGAAAAGAACTAACAATAGATACATACATAGATAGATACATACATAGATAGATACATACATAGATAGATACATACATAGATAGATACATACATAGATACATTCAGACAAACGTACATATACACACGCACGCACACACATACGCACCACACATACACATATACATACATACATACATACATAAATATACATATAGCTATATAAGTTATATGTAAATACATTTATATATTTGTGTTTGCACTTGCAGATTACAGTGTAAATATATACGTTACTTTGTCTAGCTTTTTAAACTTTCTGTGCAAACAATGAACAAATATGTTTGCGTGCGTGTGTGTGTGTGCGCGTGTGTGTTTGTCTGTGTTTTTGCGTGTTATTACGTGAACACATGCGTGTGCGTGTGTGTTTGTGTGTTATTGGCACCAAATGACTTATGTATATCGTTTAATACAAGTGAATCCTAAATTTGGAAACATTGTATATAATTTTGCATAGAGCGTTGCAAGTATTTGTTTATTTTGGTGTTTGTGTGTGCGTGTGTATGTGTGTATTTTTCAATTTTTGTGTTTGATTGTATGACATTCTGTATGGGTAGATGTGTACACGTCTATATGTGTGTATGTTTGTGAAGAGTGTTGCTTTTTTACGTTTGTGTATGTGTGAGTGAATGTGGGTGTGTTGATGTTGAATGTGTGTGTGTGTGTGTGAATGAATGGTTGCGTGTGTGTGTGTGTTTGTATGTGTGTTTGTGTTTGTATGTGTGTGTGTACTTTTAGAAGCATTCACATTATGTGGCTACGAGTTTGTGAAAATCGTTTTAAAAAATGTGAAACTTTTACTTAGTATGGAAATCGTGTTAATTTTTTGATTGCTCACCTTTGTTTCGATTTGTTATTCTTAGTTTATCATTGTTTAAATGTAATAAAAATGGCCAATAATAACCAAAACGTCAAACAGCTGATTTCAAAAATCATCTTCAAGTTTGTTTTGATGGGTTTTGTTGCGGTTTTTTTTCAAGAGAATAAAGTACTTGTTTTCATTTTTCATAAAACGTTAGATAGATGGTAGAATCCAGTCATCCAAATCGCCTTTTCAACTATTAACATAAAATCATTTGTTGTTATTGTTATTATTATTTCTTTCATTATTATTTTTTTTTTTTTATTTCGTCTGAAGCGCTGAAAAAAGCCACATAGTAAACAACATAGGGAATCAATGTTTTCCACGGTGCTATAATGATAATGATATCTAAAAATATATAATAATATAAATAATAATAATAGTAATAATAACGATAATAATTTTATTATTATTTTTGTTGCAGGTTGGTTTGTAATAAAGCTGGCTGAAAATTCGTACAATGTATTTATTGTTTATTGAATTGTAGTAACAGTTCGTCTGTTTTTATTTCTTATTTTTTTTCTTCTTATTATTATTATTATTGATAGTAATAATAGTAGTTATAATAATTATTATTCGTTATAATTATATTTATTATCTTATAATTATTTCACATTTTTGGACAAACAGGCTAGGGTTCTATGAAAAAGTAGGAAGTATGTTAATTTATGCTTCAATCGTCTGTCTATCTATCTTTTTGTCTGTTTGTTCATCTGTCTGTCTGCCTGTCGGTTTTTCGGTTTCCCTATCTATATGTGTCTGTTTGTTTGTCTATTTATCTATCTGTCTGGTTATTCGTTTGTGTTTGTTTAATCGTCTCTTTCTGTTTTTGTCCATTTGCCAGTTTATGCTTCTAACTTTCTTTCTCTCTCTTCTCTCTCCTTTTCTCTCTCGCTTTCTCTATCTGTCTCAATTTCTCAATTTTTATGAGCGTTGAAGTCATAAAAATAAAAGCTAAACTCTCACAAAGAACAATACTGAAATGTTTTTGCAGTCTGTATGCGCGTTCATCATCCCTACCACGCAGTTTCGTCTTGCGTTTTTGAAAGAACTCTCTCGAACAGAAATGAATTTCTGTCTTAAAGTTTGTTTATCAGTTGTAAATTTTTGGTTGACATCAATTTTTTTAAAATTTTGATTGTTTCTGTTATTTGTTTACATACTTAAGATATACATTTCGTGATGATATCTATTTGGTATCTATTTTGTCGTGGTGATATACTATCCTATTTTCTGATAAAAAATTATTTATTAAAAGGAAATAAATGATTATTGACTAATTACTGACTAATTGATTGATTGATTAAATAATAACTAAATGATTGATTAGTTAAAAAATAATCAAATGACTATTTGAACTTTTTTTTCTTCTCGACAAAAAACAGAACATATATAAATAAAGTGAACCGGGCGTGTTCAATAAAAACCACCACCATGAATTACACTATTTCAATTATATACCAGCCAATAAGATCGTGTATCGTTCATGAACGAAACAGTAAAATCGATAATAAAAATTCTACCTGGTTAAGCATCCTTTGATTCGTCAGTGGCAGCAAAATTAAGATTTTAATTCAAAATAAATTTTGGCGAAAGAAGAAGATTGTTTTGTAAATATGAACAACAGTGAGCAAGTCTTTTTATTCAGAAGTGATGATGACGTTGATGACGACGACGATGATGACGATGAGGAGGAGATGATAATGATGTGAAGGATAAAAATTTTGAATAAGTGTTAATAATATTATGTGATGATGATGAGGAGGAGGAGGATGTGATGATAAGGATGATGTGATGAGGATGATGATGATGATGATAAGAACAAGAAAAAATATAAATGATGAAATGCCAAAGAACTAAAATGAAGACTGCTAGCAAAGTAACCTGAGATCAAACGAAACTCAACAGAAGAGGAAAAAAATTTGCAATGCAAAAAATAGGAAAAATTATTGAAAAAACTAATGAAAACGCTCTTAGCAATAGTTATACAACAACGTTGCTCAACATTAACAACAACAGCAAAAACAAAAACAACAACATATAAATACAGAATCAAGATTGTAGAATAACAACAACAACGACAACAACAACGTCAATTAAATGCTTGAAATATTAAATATATTTGAATAAGTTGAATAAGAAAAACATTTTTAAATATTCACCATCACCACAAAAATCTTTGGGAAAGGAAAAATAAAACTCTACAAAAATAAAAAAATTATATTTATACAATTAAACGTCATCATTATTTTTTAATATTTATCTATTTTCGAAGACTGCCAAATAAATTGAGAAAAAAATTTAGAACATTGTTCCTATTTACCATAACCACCGTCATCATCATCATCATCATCATCATCATGATAATCTTCTTCTTCTTCATCATCCTCTTCATCATCGTTGCTTTTATCATCATAATCAATGTTCAACTTTTACAGAAATAATTAATTTAAAATCAATATACAAGTATAAATAGCATATCTATTCATTATATACCTATGTTATACTATAATCGTAGATATTACAGTCAATCACTCAAACACTCACACACACACGCCAATGCCACACATGCTACACACACACACAATTACACGCACACACACACACAATCACACGCTAAACACACAAACCACACACACACACAATCACACGCTAAACACACACACCACACGTCACACACACACGCCACACACTTCAAATTCTACCCAAATGTACAGGTTCATTTTCATTAGCTTCTCTAATGCTTCGAGCCTTCGCACCCTTCTTTTTTCTCGAGTAGTAGAGCAGGGCTAACCCTGGCAGGACAAAGGCCACCAGGGACACCCACACCAGATAGTAGGACCATCCGAACTTTATTTCTGAAAACTCTTTCACGTGTTCCTTCATTGAGCGTTCTTCGTATAGCATTGACTGCCTGAATACCTCTGAAACCACCCAACAACTCGCCCCTGGTAGAATGTTGTGGTGTGTGTTTGTGTGTTTGTATGTGTATGTGCGGATTTGAGTATGTGTGTAATGTGTGTGTTTTGCATAAGATATTTTAACAAACAAATATTTCCAACTATCAAAAAATACAATAAAAAAATAATTTGAAAAAAAAAATAGAATATAAAGACCAAGATAATGATGAACATAAGCTACGAACCGAACAACTGACCAGCTGGACGTAAGTGATTTAACGCCAGGTTAATGACCATATACAGAAAGTTAATGAACTGAGAGAGAGAGAGAGAAAGAGAGAAAAAGAGAGAGAGAGAGAGAGAGTTTGTGTGGATCGGTGTTCCAATGTCTTTCAATAAACTAAATAAAAGCCATTAAGTGTACCCCTTAGAAGAAAGAAAAAGAGAGAGAGAAAGAGAAAGAGAGAGAAAGAGAAAGAGAGAGAAAGAGAGAGAGAGAGAGAGAAAGAAAAAGTAAGAAAGAGAAAAGGAAAGATACGTGCATGAAATTTTTTTTGTCGAAATCGGCAAATGATTTTTTTTAAAATATTCAAAGTTAAATAAATTAACTCTCCAAAGGATTTAAAACAGTGATGTATTGATGTGTAACATAAATCTAAAAGTCCTGCTAGCACACTCCAATCATCTCAACCATCCTACCTGTTATTAGGTGGAGACAGCCAGCCAGCCTTTTGAACATGTATCTTTGTGGGGTGTAATTAAAATAATTGATTGATTGAATATCATTTATATTAAATAATAATTGTTTACGGTAGATAATATATACTATTTAAGAGTATAAATCTTATCACTATGCAAATTTTCATTTTATTTAGCGTGAAAACGTTAATTTTTATCATCATCGTCATCCTCGTTATCATCATTATCATCATCATCACCTTCCTCACATCGTCATCATCATCATCACCTCACATCACCATCATCATCACCTTAAATCTTCATCATCATTATCATCATCACATCATCATCATCATCATCACCTCATCTGGTTGAGTGAGTAGTATGTAAAGCTGTGAGCAACAAAGGATAGGAGCAGGGCAATTATCCCAACCGCTACGGTCGACCTCCTGAAGTCTGAATCATCATTATCAAGATTACCATCATCATCTTCATCACCGTCATCATCTTCATCATCATCATCATCATTGTTAGCATTATCATTATATGTATCATTATCATCGTCGTCATAATCATTATTAGCAAATAATCATCAGGACAAACACTTGTTACCACACATTACTACACATTGGAGGACTATGAAAGGCGCGCATATGACGTCACGAAACGTCGTTATTATGTCACACACAGTATATACTTAACGGAAAGTATAAAGAGGTCTCACTAACAAAGAATGGTATTTTTCACATAAAACCAACGAAGCTAACTTCAGCCATTGATTTATTCTAGAACGATGAACACGTAAGCCTGGCTCAGGGACCAACACACACGCACACGCACACGCACATACACATACGCACACACATACACACACAAGCACACACAAACAAACACGTACCTGCCATTTTAGTTTCAACTTCAATTCTCTCTGTCTTCGTATTAGGCAGAACGTCAAATGTCATCCTTCTGCAGTAAATAGCTGGTTATGGTGATGATGGCGATGATGATAATGATGGCTCTGGTAATGATGATGATGGTGATGATGATGCAGATAATGATGACGATGATGGTAGTGGTGCAAATGAGAATCCGAGTAAATATACATAAAATAAGATGCCGTTAAGCCAGGAAAATTAGCCAAAAAGATAAAACCCAGGAAGTGTATAACGAACCTCGTAAATATTCATGAAAAATTTTAATTATTCATGAGGGTCTGAACTCTAAATAATCATGAATGTCTCACTTTACACACCTAGATGTCACCATTCATCGTTTTTGGCTGGTCTTCTAGAACTAATCGCTCACAATAATGATGGAAGTTAAAAACTGTACAAAAAAATTCACGTCATGCTAATGTATTATGATGGGACGTGTACATTTATGTGTACATTATGCCATATGTACCGTATTGACTGGATGCACAAATAAAGTTATTTCATTGTTGTTGCGTATCGATGAAATGTTTTAGTCAGTTTCATTATCATGTCGAGTCATGCAGGGGTCTGTCAAGTGCTTACAAATTTTGTTTTTGAGAGCTGCGTTATGAAATTGCTTCAGAATGTGGTTCCTCGTGCATTTGTAACAAACTAAGTAGAAAAACAATTACCGTTAAAAACTACCTCAAAAGCATTAGGCGAATTGAATTCATGATTTTATTTTGACAAGAACCAAATAAGAGAAAAAATTATAAAAAGTAAAAAAAAGCGAATTTTAGCATAAACATAAAAAGACGAACACTTAAGCCAAGTGCAGAAACATCAGAAAGCACACAAAACAAACGATAAAGATATGAATAGAAGGCTCTCAGTTGTACAAAACTCTTAATTCTTCCCGCCTCGCACACACACACACACACACACACAAACATTTCTTTACGATAATGAAGACAAACAAACACATTGTAGATGGCAAGATACATTTTTCGGATGAAAAAACAACAAAAAGAAATAAACAGAAACAAAAAAAATTGAAAAAAAACTAAAAAAAGAAAAGAATATTTGTTTTTAATTAAAGCAAATGATGAATTGTTGAAATGTGTTTCGGGAGTCGTCAATTTGTTTGTAGTTTTTTTGTTTTTCTTACATTCAAAAAAAATTTTTTTTAAAACTTTCGTTCGCGCTTTTTAGCTTCTGTTTTTATGCGAATGAGCAGATGAACATGTAACCGGACATGCACGGGATGTTTTCATCATTCATCCAACAGCCTATACTAACTGGGGGTAGATTGGTTGCCCTCTCCAGGCCAGATCTCATTCCTGCAAAACCTCCACAACCCATGGTAGTGACCAGTCTTCAGATACTTCCCGCCTCTCTCTGTATCCTCTTTCTGTTCAGTTTTACCCAAAGTTACAAAAACCCAATACTCGGACGAGTATGAGATGAGGAAAAGTACAGAGCCTACTACGCCGCAGGCGAATGCAGCTTGCAAGATTTGACTCTCTCGTTGAATTTGCTGTTCTATTTTTTCTCGTTTTGAAATTTTTTTGTCGGAAGATTGTTTTTTTAGAGGTTCTTGTTGTTCTGCTTGTTGTTGTTGCTGTTGTTGTTGTTGCAGTTTTTTCGGTTGCTTTTTGTTGTTGCTATCCATTTTTTAAGTTGTTGTTGTTGGTCGCGGTTTTGGTGATGTTAGGAATCAAAGGTCAGAGTTTAAGGTGGTAATACTCTGTTTTAAATAAATATGTTAACTGAAGTAATAACACTTTTTAATAGCCTCTTAATTATTAAACAATAAATATATCAATAAAACTTATAATAATAACAAATAATAACGAATGAATAATAAGTTATCACTGCGACCAAAATCTAGTGGAAGCCATTTTTATACAGCCTTTTAATCATCAGCGAATACACAAAGCAGAGCCTTTTGTGTAGAAAAATAAACAATTTTTGCATTGTTATTATTTGTATTATTATTGTAATAATAATAATAATTAATATTATTGTTATTATTATTGTTGTTGTCATTGTTGTTATTGTTGTAACCCTTTTTACTGTCAGGTCCCAATAGCTGCAGTCATTATAATACTCCACCAGTTTATCGGATCAAGACGGTTTTTGATAGTTTTTTATTATTATTATTGTTATTAGAGTCATAATAATAATAATTATTATTATTATTAATATTGTTGTTGTTGCTGTAAATTTTGTTATCCCGCTCATAGTAATTTATATAATTTATTGGTTGGCTCGGTGTATTAATATGGGCAGATGCTAGGCTATTGTAGTTGGAGTTTTTAACGGTAATGTTATTTGAGATTTTTGTTGATGTCTTTGTTGATGTCGTTTTTGTTGTTGTTGTTGGTGGTGATGGTAATAGTGGTGTTATGTTATTACTGCTATTGTTGTTTGTGCTGTTGGTAGTGTTGTTTTTGTTTGAAAGTTAGTGATGAAAATTTTTCGAAGTTGTTGTGCAATGTTCTTCATTTTTATTTTCATTCTACATTATTGATTTTTTGTTATTGTGATTTGTGAACTTGTGCTGGCAGCAAATTGTTGTTCTCATGTTAAACGTCTGCGTGCAAACATGTGCGTGCGTGTGTTGACACGTGCGTGCCTCTACACACTAACACGTACATTTAATGTGGAAGTTTCACTTAACAATGTTTACGTACAATCTTGTGCATGCACTAAACCTAGGCAAACAAATAAGCGTTGTCCGTGTTATAAAAAAAAAGGCAAATAAAGTTCTGTACACATAGACACACACAAACACACACACGCATACAAACACAAACACATAAACAGATATACAGACACACACACCCACACGTACATGTAAACAGTATTGTTATGAAGTCATAATTATTTTTGTTTGCAATTCAAAACAAAACTGTGTACGAACATAGTGTACGAACGTGAACAAACCAAAAATAAAATATACATGGAAAAGCATTCAAGCAAACTCGGATGCAGAAACAACAACTGCAAACAGAAAATGTGTGCGTGCGTGTGCGTGCGTGTGCGTGTGTTGTGATAGTGTGCCTACAAGTTGGTGTATGTGAGTGAATGAATGAATGAGTGAGTGAGTGAGTGAGTGAGTGAGTGAGTGAGTGAGTGAGTGAGTGAGTGAGTGAGTGAGTGAGTGAGTGAGTGAGTGAGTGAGTGAGTGCCATTTGTCCTGGAAAAATGTGCCAGATAATTACATTTTCAGTCTTTTATTCATCTGTCAGATTTTCGTTTGTCTGTTCACACGTTCGTTCCGTTCGTTTTATTGTTTGTTCACTCGTTCGTTTATTTGTTCACACGTTCATTCATTTATTCATTGATGGTTTGAAAATTAACAATTGTGAAAAATGAAAGCCCAACAATAGAGGCGGACGAAGCGAACATAACTTATCTCAGATTTGAAAAGAAATTATCGACTGAAAATTTTAATGAACAAAGAGGCAGACGTTAAATCTGAAAAAAACAATTTAACGAATGAAATAATGAAATTCACATTCAATCATTCATTCATTCGTTCGATCGTTCGTTCGTTCATTCATTCATTCATTCACTCACACTTTAAGTCATTCAGTCATTTGATTCGATGTCAACACGAACATTAAAATGGAACAATTAAAAACACACTCAACAACACAAACATGACGCGAAACATTCAAAAACACACGCACACACACACACGCACGCACAAGCATACACGAACACACACACACATACATCTAGTTAGAGAAAAAATACATACAGATACATTCTTGTTTTAGATATTTAGGTGCATATTCAGGCCAAAACAACAAAAACAGCAAACATACTCATTAAATCACTTTCTCTTTTTCGGTTGACTGTAGCATAGGTTTGTACTGGAGTGTTTTTGTTTATAATGGAAAATTTATGCACGCCTTTTGAAGGTGGGTAGTATCCACACAAACACACACACACTCACACACACACTCACACACACAAACACACTCACACACACAAACACATACCCTCACACATCCACAAACATGCAATACGACGAGCAACGCCTTTTTCTTCTTTCATATGATGGAAACGCATTAAAAGAAGCGTACATGCAGCCTTGTACACTTTCTCTGTTGTACGTATGTATGTATGTATGCATGTATGTATATATGTATGTGTGTATGTATGTATGTTTTTTTTATGTATGTATGTGTTTATGTATATATGTATGTATCGTATATTTGTGTGTATCATTCACTGGAGCATTTTATGTATTGAGTCTATCCCATTTAGACAGAATCAAACGTGTCTATCCGAAAACATTATCCCATAAAGTTTCTGGATACACGAACAGATTGTAGCAAATTTCTTTTACACGTGTTTCCACTGAGATATACATACAAACATACATTCACACACGTATAAACGCATACACACACACGCACGCACGCACGTACATACATACATACATACATACATACATACATACATACATACATACATACATACATACATACATACATACATACATACATACATACATACATACATACGAAACGAAACGAAACGAAACGATCTTTTATTTGCTTCCCAAAAATAATAATTAAGAAGGCAGGATGATTGTGATCGAGCTCATGATGAGCTCATCTTGCACAGCCACCTTATCACAAATAAAACAGATGTAAGAAAATTAGAAAAAATGTTTTCAGTTAGCTTAATTAAAGTCCTATTCTGTAAATATATATACACGTACATACATACATACATATATATACATACACATACATATACGCATACACATACTCATATATAAATCATCGAGATCAACAGAACAATGTTACATTAAATAATCATTTAATGTTAGTTTGAATTTATAAGTTTACAATTCAATTTGGTTACAAAATTTAATGTCAATTGAGTTTACAATACATATATATACATACATATACATACCCATACATACATACATAAACAAATATATATAAATCAAATATTAACAAAATAAATTTTATCCATGTACGTACATATACACTCACGCAGACACACATATATGCCTACTTTAGAATAAAAACAACTTTATATAGTATTATTAATAATAAAGCTTTTCAAATTTTTTTTAAATTGATATAGTTGTTGCGATTCATTTGGCAAGCCCTTTTTTAGCATCATATTCCATGTTCTTGGACCTCTGGTTATGATGTGACTGAATAGAATATGCGTCTTTGATTTAGAAGAAAGAAGAAACTTCTGTCTTCTCACGTTGTTGCTAGGTTCAAAGTAGTTTCCGAAAATTGATGGCAGCTGGTTTGAAACTTGCTTGTATACAAATATCATTGTGCAAAATGTGCATGTTTGATCAAAACTTAAATTGTTTGTTAATCTAAATAAGGATTGCGCATGTTCACATTTAGTTGATAAGGTGATGACTCTAATTGCTCTTTTCATGAGTTTTTTGACTGAGCTGGTGACTGAGGGGTATGCACCTGACCACACTACATTACAGTAAGTTACCTGAGGCATACACAAGGCATTGTATAGCATATTCAAGCATCTCCTCGGCAAGAAAAACTTTATTTTGTTTATTATACAAATAGATTTGGCTAGTTTTGAGCAGATGTTGTCTATGTGTGACCGAAAGGATAATTTCTGATCCAGAAAGACTCCCAAAAACTTGACTACTTTACTTTCAATGATGTCACAACCATTTATTACAATTTTGAAAGGTTCTTTATAATTTAAAAAATTTACTGGACCAAACACAATCATCTGAGTTTTTTTCATATTTATTGTTAACTTATTATTTTTAAACCAGTTGCTAATGTGCACAATTTCTACGTTAGTTTTTGCAATCAATTCATTGATGTTTTTGCCTACACTGAAAACATTAGTATCATCTGCAAAGCAGATATAATCAAAATAAGTTGAAGAGTTTGGCAAGTCGATTATGAAGATAACAAAAAGCAGGGGCCCCAAGATCGACCCTTGCGGCACCCCAAATTTATTGAGCACTATCGCTGATACTTCATTTTTCCATTTCACGAACTGATTTCGATTTGAAAGATAACTTTGTATCCATTTTAGTGTTGTGCCTCTTATTCCATATTTTTCAAGTTTTCCCAGAAGTATCCTGTGGTCTATACAGTCAAATGCCTTGGTAAGATCTAAGCAAGTACCAACAACATAATTTTTATTTTCTGTCTCTCTCCCGATTTTACGAAGTAATTCTATAATAGCTAATTCTGTTGAATGGTTTTGTCTAAATCCAAATTGAGAATTCGTTAACAAATGATTTTTTTCTAAAAAAAGGATTAACCTGTTGTACATCAACTTTTCGATTATTTTAGAAAAAGCAGGTAATAGTGCGACGGGTCGATAATTCGTAAAATCTGATTTTCCTCTTTCCTTTGCTATGGGAATGATTTTAGCCGTTTTGAAACAAGAAGGAAATTGACCTGACATAAAAGACAGATTAATAAGATGTTCAAGCACATGTGCTGTTGATCGGATGGTAGCCATAACAATTTTACTAAGTATTTCATCCAGTCCAAAAGACGATTTTGCTTTGATTAGTTTTGCTGTAGTTATTATTTCTTCTGTTGTAGTTTGCAAACAGAAAAACGAGTTTGGCAACTGATGATGAATTGTTTCTTTCCATGATTGTTTATCCGGTAAGGATTTCTGAAGGTTTTGAGAGATGTTAACAAAGTAGTTATTTAGAAAATTTGCAGGCGATGCTATAATTTGTTCATTATCTGTGATCGATGCAGGGTTGATCTATTTTTGCCTGCTTGTTAACCTATTAATTATTGACCAAGTTTTTTTCGAGTCATTTTTATTTTTGTCCAACAAATCACAGAAATATTGCCTTTTCAGAATAGATTTAACCTTGTTGCAAATTTGACTTTGTGATTTAAATTTCAGAAAATTCTCACTACTTAAATTTTTAATGAACTTTTTGTACAAGTATTTTTTTTTATTCAGCATTCTGCGAAAATCAGTTGTTACCCAAGGCTTTTGTTTTAAAATTTTTTTAATCTTTCCTAATGAGCTGATCTGACAACAGTCTTTAAATGCCACACGGAAAATGTTGGTGAAAAGTTCGAAAGCAGCATCCACATCTGAGCACAGTAACACATCTGTCCAGTCGGTTGATAGCAGTCTTTCATTTAGTTTATCAATTCTGTGTCTTGAAAAAGAAAATTGATTTTCTCGGTTTTAAAATTCTATTTTCACTAATTGTTGCTTGAAACATGCAAATATGGGTAAGTGATCCGAAATGTCTGTCAAATGCACTCCACAAACTGTTACGTTCTCCGATGCATTGGTAAAAATATTGTCAAACAGAGAGTTTTTTTGTATGTTTATTCTTGTTGGTTTATTTATTAATGCTTTTAGATTATAAGATGTCAGTAAATTTTGGAGTTGACTACTGTAAGATTCGTAATTTTCCAAAAGATCTATATTCAGGTCTCCGGTTAAATAAACTAGTTTTTTCTCATTATTTATGGCTAGCAAAACTTGTTCAAGTTGCTTCATATAAACTTTTTTGCTGTAATGTGGTGGTCGATACGTAACAATAATTAATGAGTTGTTTTTAGACGAGATTCCCACTTCAATTGCAAATAACTCTAGTTCATTTGAAATCATCAAATCATTTCTTATCTTAAATATAATATCATCTTTTACAAAGAGGCCGACTCCACCCCCGTGTCTACCGGAACGATTTTTGCCAACAAAATTGAACCCATTAATCCCAATCGAATCTTCATTCACTTTGTTTAGCCACGTTTCGGTAATGGCTATGACATCAAATTTGAAATCAAAACTTGTTAAATAATCCTTTAATTCTGTTGATTTATTTACTAAGCTTCTTATATTTATATGCATTAAATTAAATGTTGTATTTGTTGTCGAATGATTATCATTAAATAATTCATAATCATTATTTATTTCAGCAGAGTTGTAAAATGTTTTGCACTTATTAACAAAAAAATCATCATCTACAATTAAATTAGCCATTTTTAAAATCTAACTTTTTTTCATTGAATTTCCATTCTCTCACGATGATATGCTGCAGCATTACTTCCGGGTCTTTCATTTTACCTTCATCTTTCTTTTCAACGCAAACTCTGAACATGGTTGAATGTTCGTCGTTGTTAATTGCTTTGGGGTCGGTTTCGTCAGTTCGCTTTATAACTGGGAAACATGTAATCACGTTTATACCACTTGTCTGCAAGAACTCCACAACATCATCTCTGTGGCATTTCTTTACATTGCTTAGGCAAAAAACTTTTTTTTTCATGATTATTTTATCAGGTTGTAATTTTACATGTTCCATAATTTTGGTGCCGATAATCCTCTTTGCAGGTTTTTTTGATTGTTCCATTTTGTTGATGTTCTCATTTGATGGATTTTTAACTGTGTTTACAACGTTTATATTTTTTTCAACAGAACTTGTACTGAGTTTGGTTCTATTCTTGTTTCTGTTCACGACCATTGCATAGGTTTGTAACATGTCGCTTGGTGTTTGTACAGCGTCTGACCAAGCTATATTGTTATTGTTTACGGAATTGATTTTAGCTATTTCTAATTCAGGTTCATGCAAATTACTAACTGGATATTTATTAATCAAGTTTGTACTATCTAAGCTATATTTATTAATGCGGTCGCGTACAGACACCTGTTCGTTACTTAGACGCACGTTGTGCATTGACAGCAGTAATTTATTCATTTCCGTTAATTCATTCAATTTTTCTACCATTTTGTCATTATTTATTTGAATAATATCTAAAATATCTAACCCTTCTCGAGGAACTCTGCTTGGATTCAAGATAACAAAAGTCGGCAAATTTTGTTGTAAATCATTTGAAATAATATGTTTAAATATTTCAACTAACTCGACTACCTTGTCAACTTTTTTATTTCCACCTTGTTTGAGTGATAATTTTTCTTTTTTATCTTTTTTTATGATATCCAATTCATTAAGTAACAATTTTTTGGCAGTAGATATTTCTTCGGAATTGTAGAATTCTACAACTGCATTTTTAAACTTTTCATTTTCGATGATATTTAAATTTTCGCAAAAAAACCACAAGAGTTCAGAAATCTGCAGTCGCTTGCTGGCCATTTTTCAAACATTATACATACATACATACATACATACACACACACACACACATACATACATACATACATACATACATACATACATACATACATACATACATACATACATACATACATACATACAAACAAACAAACACATACATACAAAAATACATTATTAGATATACGTATATTAATTTCATTAAACTATGTCCTACATACTAAAAGACGTGTATCATAAAAATGCACCAGTCAATAAAAATAATCAATAAACCCGCTACACGTTCATCCGTCTATCTATCCAATCATCCATTTTATATCCATCCATCTATCCATTCGTCATCTCGTTTATTTATCCATCCATTCATCTTTTTCATCCATTCATCTATCAATCCATCAATTATCCATTTATTCATCACATTAATTCACTTGTCCTACTATATAACCTATCCATCTATCCATTTATTCGAACGTGAAATGAAGAAAAGATAGAAGAATGAAAGAATACAAAATGAATGAATGAATGAATGAATGAATGAATGAATGAATGAATAAATGAATGAATGAATGAATGAATGAATGAATGAATGAATGAATGAATGAATGAATGAATGAATGAATGAATGAATGAATGAATGAATGAAGGAACGAACGAACGAACGAACGAATGACAAAAGGTGAATGAATAAATTAGTAAATATAAACAAACGAATTTAACTATCATATAACGTATATCATATCGTGTTAGCTAGATCAGAGGTGAACAAATACAATTGAGGTTTTTCATTTTTATGAAGGATGGAAAATAAATTAATATTTGCCTTTGGAAACTTAAAACGAATCATAAAAAGAAATAATAATACAAACAAAAATTACAATAATAATATAAGTAATAACAATAATAATAATAATAATAATAACTGTAATAATAAATAATATTACGTCGTCATCATCGCAGCAACTATAATTTTTCTAGCCATTATGAATGGCACCGTAATTTTGAAAATAATTTCGCCATTTGATTCATTTATCACTTAATTTATGATTATTTCCTTAATAATTAGCCTTTATTATTATCACTTGTTGTTGTTATTGTTGTTATTATTACCATTATTATTGTTATTGTTGGTATTATTGTTGTTGTTATAAGTTAGAAATGGCGTTGAAAGGCAAGGCTGTGCATAACTTTCCAAGTGCATAGAGGCTTGATGATTAATGCATGCAAATAAACTATCATAAATTATATGCATGTGTATGTTTGTGTGTGTGTTTGTATGTGTGTTTGTGTATGTATGCGTATGCGTTCGTGTTTGTCTTGGCCCAGTTTATTTTTTAACTTATATACATGTATATGTACCTTTAAATCATCAAGTTTTAATTTGCGGTATATTTCTTGTAGCTGATAATGTTAATATTTCTTTTTAAATCAACGGTTTTGCTCTGGCAAAAATGCATGTTGTCAAAGAGTTAGGTGTCTCGTTGGAATGTGATTTGAAATTTCATAAACACTTCAAAATTTTATCTAAAGACTCTCTCGTTACACTTTAAAAATCTTTAGTCAGGTCAAGTATAGAATGTGTGCCGTGTGTATGATCTCCTTGGTCACATTTGGTTATATAAGACATCGAACGTGTTCAGTAGAGGACTGCTAAGGTGGTTAAGAGCTGCTGTGGAATGAAATACGAACAGCGATTGAGATTTCTCTCTCCACCTACACTTAGTTGCAGGTATCTCATGGGTGACCTCATTTTGGTTTACAACTTAAAAAAGATCTGGGTCATTTTGCCTGCATTCCGTTACTGAATAACTAAATTATTGAATTAGACTTACTGAAGAGACCTAACGACGAACGAAAAAGAGGTGTGTACATTTAAAAGTTGTCTACTCATAATTTTAAAACGAATCATAGAAAATCTAAATTTTCTAACCGAGTGGTGGATACATGGAGTAGTTTGAGTGTTGGTGTTGTGATGGCTGGTGGTGTTGATTTGTTTAAGGCTCAAAAAATCCAAAATGAAAATAAACGAATTTATTTTACTAAAAGTTTGTTAAATAGCCATAATAAACTCACAAGAAATTTAGATTATATAATTTCCATGAACCAAAAACATTAATTTTATATTTGACAATGCAAAAATCATCCTTCGAAAATTAAAAAATGTAAGTTATGCTCACTTTCGTACAGATGATGCAAAACAAATCAAAAGTAAAATGACGCCAACAACTGATACTAAATACAATTGTGACAAACATTTATTAAAATAATAAACTAATTATGTAAAAACATCATTTTTGGTGCATTTCGTTAACACTTTTTCCTAGCTCTGGTGAATAAATAAATCAAGAATTGTTTTTAAATGAAGATTAACTACTTCTGGATATCGTATGAAGGATATACAAAGTATAGACAACATAGATATGTATGTATGTTATGTGTATATGTATATGTTGGTGCATGTATAAACGTTCTGTTAACATGCAATCATAGCATCTACAATGAGGTGAAATGAGTTCTTGCAGGCAAATACATGCATGCGTGTGTCTGCTCGTTTGCTGGTAGTTGCTTTATAAAGATGTACGCATCAATGCATGGATGCATGATTGTAAAAAAAAGTCTGAAATTAATTTTTCGTTTTTCATGTCTTCTGAATTTTGTAACATGTATGACTAAATTTTTGTTTATAATTCTTTAACCTCACTTTAAATAATAAAACGCGATTGAAAATTTTATTCTGAATTTAATTTAGGTGAAAATTTAATGTTATATAATTTAGTATAGCTGAATTTCGAATCAAAATTATTCGTAAAACTATTATTTCAGTTTAGCCCAAGCTATAAACTCTCAATTCGTAAAGATCGTGACAGCTGACAACAACCTCCATGGACCCGTCCCCATCGAGGTCTACCACCGCCAGCCCACCTGCTGTCATTCCACGTCCTAAATCGACCAGGACATTTTTGGCGTACCTCCAGTCTTTGGGATCTCTTGAAAGAGGCACGTAGTAGTGCACCATATTATTGTCGGCACCTGCCACGAAAATCCAGGGCTTGCCTATTTTTCTGAAATTCCAAATTTGTTAAAAAACACTCTAAAAATTGTAAATTAACAAAACTAAGAGCCAAAATATCAATAACAGTATCAATTTTTGACTAAGTTTGATCCTTAAATTAAAACATCGGATTATTAGCAACTCTGAAACATTGACAACTTGGACCAGCCAACTTGAACAAAAACAGCAAATCAGTATGAACTTGGATGTTGGATGATGAACGCTGACTGCTCCAGGTGTCAGGCCTTGATAGATACCCCCTCTTAATGAACTGTATGTATCAAGGACATGTTTCGTGTAATTGCTCACCAATCTGTATTGGCCGAAATTATATGAAAAAATATGGTTTAAAGCGTTTAGTAGAATTTTTTCAAATTTCAAATAGTTTAACTTATGGTGAAAAACTGTAGATCGACCTGAAATCTTTACTAGGTAGCTCCCAGATTTCGACGGAACCATTTTTACCTTCAATGGAAGCAATGATATCTAATTTGAGATCACCGTTAATGTCCACTGCTTGAACGTCAGTAACCGCCCTTCCTTGGTCCAATTTTAGCATCTTAATCTAAAATTAAATTAACATCCTTTTGAATTATTTTGAAAAAGATAAAAAATTTTTTTATAGCTTTTAATTTACTCACGTGAGTTGGGTCGTCCCAGTTCCCTTGAGTTCCATTTTTGGTTTCGGCCCAGATGATGCTCAGCTGTTTAATTTTGGAACCGGCTGCATAAATTACATCCCATTTTTTAAGGACTGTCTCAAAGAATGGTATCTCAACGAGATTTGCATCACACGCCTTCTCCTTTAGGACCGTATCTTTCCATGGTCTCAATAAGTCGTTGCCTATGTCTGGTCTCTTCAGGTGGACAAGTTCAGAGCCATTGTACAGTCCTGGTTCGGTAAATTCAGTAAATTATTTTACCAATCAAAAACAAATATTATCATTCTATCAATAAAGTGGTAGCTTAGTTAATTGTTGAAGAGTGACAAAAAAGTTAGTCTGTCAAAAATAAGCTTTGTAAAAATGTAAAAACTGAAAACTAAACCTGATACGTATACAGCTCTGCAGGTCAAAATATCTTTTCCGCCAATCAAAGACATTCTTTTGAAGATGGCATCCGTGTAATGATGAGTAACTTTTAAGTTTGGAGTGCGTGGGGAGGTGATGTCATACGTGATGACGTTTTTGAAGTCGGTAACGTTCGCGATGTATATGTGACCGTCACTCTTTCCTGAAATGCTCGCGCCATCAGGAATCAAAACTGCATCCATACCAAAGGCGGCACCTAAGCTCAATTATTTTGCAATTTTGTTCGATGAAATCTTGTGAATCAATTAAAGTAAAAATGTAATTACCATCGAGTTGTTGCATTTCTTTAGGCCAGCTGAAAAGATGGTCTAACGGAATCGGCTTTACAGTGATCAGGTTATTGATGAAACGTCCAGGTCTATCAAGGACGTAAGCGTAATCAACGCTGTTGGGTCTTGGGTCGTAAGTTGAAACCAGCAAACTGTACTTTGAGGAGCCATTTGCGACATTTTCGTGTTCATACACGCTCATTAGTCCGGCTCTGTGCAGTACGATGACTCCGCGAAGTTTTTGAGCATTCGAGACTGACAACAGAATGGTTGCACATATAAGAAGACAACTGATTAAGTGAAATTTCTCCATTTTGTATTATGTTGACCAGAAATTGACTGCGTTTAAATAAAGAAATTTTATCCTATATTTTAATCATTAGTGTTATCGAAATGTCGTTTGGTTGTAACTGCTATCTTTCAAGTGTATCAAGAGGGCGTACTTTGTCTTCATGCATTCCTACTGTTTGTGTCTTTATGGCTTATTTTACTAAGAAGCTTAAGGGTTTTACAAGAAAAAGATAAGCTTTGTTTCAATTTTTGCGTTTAATTTTTAAATTTACCCTGGTTCTAGTTTGAAATAGTTTTATCGTAACGAAAGAAACAAATTTCATCATAGTTTTCTGAGAAGTTATGTAGTATCAAATATATATTGGATATACCAATACCTACATAAGATTAACTATTACAGATCGTATTCGTGGTTTGCGTCAAATGAGGTCTTAAGTTATATCTTGAACATTTTTTAAACGAACAATCGAAATCCAATGTAAACGATTTTTTTATATATTTTTAATTTCGTTCAATTTAAGCGAAGTTAGGTTAAATTTCTCCAATTCTTCAAAAGAACTGTTTTTCTTTCAAATGGTTTCCACCGATACATAACACTTACTTGCCCTCGTTTACAATCCTGATTGGTTTACATGCTTGGTTTACCAAAATATAATGTAAGACAAGTAAAAACTTTGTTTTATTCTTTAAATCATACTCTGTTAAAATCAGAAAAAATTATTTGGGAGATTTTCAAAAACTTTGTTAAAATTATCCAAATCAGTCAGTTACTGTTGGTATCGTTTGATTTTGATTTGTACAATAGATTTTAGTTAGTGACTTGGTTAAAGAAGAAGTATTTTTTTCAAAGCAAAATTCAATTGAACAATTTTATTAAAATATGTAATCACAATTTTAAATATACAGTCGTAAATAACAACAAATATAATTTAATTAGTTGTTCAAAAATCTTTAATTTTGCTCGATCTCAAATTCTATCAAAGAAAGCAGCAAATTCATTCGTCGTCAACACTGAAGCTGTAGATCTTTACAGCACCTTGTACATTGAGACTTACGAAGACCTCCACAGCTCCATCTCCGTCGAGGTCTTGCACTTGTAGGCCGCTAACATCTTCTCCTGCTCCGTAGTCGTCCAGAACTTTTTTGGAGTACCTCCAATCCAGTGGATCTTGTGAGAGTGGCACGTAGTAGTAGGCGCGTCCGTCGCCACTCCCTGCTACAAATATCCAAGGTTTGCCGATTTTCCTGATGTGATTTTTTTATTGGAAAGTGAAAAACATCAAAACTCAAAAATTAACATATGTTCATTAGTTATTAATTCATTTTAAGTCTTTTTCTGACACGACACAGTTTGAAAATTTGAAAATATGATAACAGATTTTTGGTCTATTCAAATCAAAACATTGCACACAGTCTAAACTAAATCAAACTAAACGAAATCAATAAACTTTGAAAAATTCTACACGACCAACTGACTTTGAGGTGACATGTTGAACATACATGGCTCCTGGAGCTTGACTACCTGCACGAGACCTTGGAACGAATGTGTCCAGCACATGTTTCTTGTAGCTTTCTATTGATCTGCGCGAGAAAAATGTTCAAAAATTTAATGAAAAAACAAAATAAACGCACGGAAATTTTTACTGTTAAGGTTTAATTATTATTATTATTATTATTATTATTATCAAAAAGGCCT